CTATGGAGGCATGTAAAAAAACAAACAAAACCCATGTGCTTGAGCACTCAGCTGAACAGAAAGAAAGAAAGAAAGAAAGAAAGAAAGAAAGAAAGAAAGAAAGAAAGAAAGAAAGAAAGAAAGAAAGAAAGAAAGAAAGAAAGCTCTTCAGATTCATGAGCTACTCAGTTATATCCCAATCAGGAATCTCATGATAAAGTACAACAACTAAAGCAGACCAGCATATTCATCTGGATTGCAATTTAATAAGTTTAAACTTGTCCTGACACTCTAACATGCAATAATATTAGTATGGGATTGCTTTTAGGAAAATGTAGGAGGTTTCAGACATTGAGAGTAAATTCAGCTCTCCAATTTGAACCTCCACACTTCTATGAGCTTATTGCAGCTCACTTAGTAGTTAAAGGAGGCTGCATTTACCTCTGCTGATGCCATTGTATAAAATTTCCATTCAACATCTGGTATGGACGGGGGAAGGACAATTTTCACATTTCATAATTTCCATTGAATCTATGTTTTGTCTATGATTTGACAATTCATTCACCTCCTTTACCACCAGAGGTAAGTGCTCTAAAGTGGTTCAGTGAGGAGGACTGAACATAGGGTGTAGGTATTTCTTCCTCCTGCAATTGTCAATCTTTTCCTGGATTTATTGATTCAGATTTTTTTTTTTGAAAAAAACCTCACCAAACAGGACAAAACAAAATGTCTACTTTGCTGGACGTGGTGGCGCTGCGGGCTAAACCGCAGAAGCCTGTGCTGCAGGGTCAGAAGACCAAGCAGTCGTAAGATCGAATCCATGCGATGGAGTGAGTGCCCGGCGCTTGTCCCAGCTCCCACCAACCTAGCGGTTCGAAAGCATGCAAATGCAAGTAGATAAATAGGGACCACCTCAGTGAGAAGGTAACAGCATTCTGTGTCTAAGTCGCACTGGGCATGTGACCACGGAAGATTGTCTTCAGACAAAAAAACGCTGGCTCTATGGCTTGGTTTTCACAGAAACTATTTCTATAATTAAAATAATTTTAATGAGTATACAAGAGCACTCTGGATCAAACTCAAGCCCTACCAGGTTATTCTTCCTCTTCCCCACAGCAGTCAACAAGGTAGCACATTAGAACAATATCAATAATGATAATGTGCCATCCCATTAATTCCACCTTATGGAAATTTTCCCAGAGTTTTATAGGCATAACTAGTCAGAAATGATTTACCAGTACCTCCCAGTGGCACTGGCAGCATGCAACCTGTCCAAGGCTGCACATGTGGTAAGGCACATATTAGTTACACAAGTTCCAAGTAACGTGTTTCCTCGAAAATAAGACAGGGTGTTATATTATTTTTTGCTCCAAAACACATTAAGGCTTATTTTCAGGGGATAATCTACATTTATTCAAAATACAGTTATGTCATCTTCTTCTGGTTGCTGCACAATGGTGGAGGGTGGGGTTTCACTTAACTGGGGCTTATTTTTGGGGTTGGTCTTATATTACAAGCATCCTGAAAAACCATAATAGGGCTTATTTTCAGGTTAGGTCTTATTTTCGGGAAACGGTATATCTCACCTGGCCTTTCTCCTGGCACAGTGAGAAACTTAACTCCCAGCACCTCTGTTTACAGCCATTCCAACTAACTGAGCAATATTAGGAGTTAACAGAATAAGAACTCTCTTCCACTGTTATTTCCCAGCAACTGATAGGCAGAAGAAAATTGCTCCCTATAATCCCAGGGCTAGCTAGCTAGCTAGCTAGCTAGCTATTTATTTATTTATTTATTTATTTATTTATTTATTTGGATTTCTACCCCACCCATTTAGACCAAAGGTCTACTCTGGGCGGCATTACCAACTTAAAAACAGTTAAACCAATAAACATACACTATAAATCCAAAATGGTAAAATGTGAAATTTAAGATAATAGTCATCATCATATTATAACTAGCATAATTTCACAGGCTTGTCTTTGATGCATTTGTTTAATTCTACTTTAAGGCCATCTATATTTGTTTGTTTGTTTTTCAAAGAATTGTTTATCACTTTTCTGGCTATGGAGACCCCAGAGCGATGCACAAGAAAACAGAGATAAAAAAAAATTAATAGAAAACAGATCAAAAGACAAATGTGAAAAACCAGTTTTAAAAGCCAACTTTCTGTAGAAACAATTCAAGAACAACTCTAAAAGATAACATTAAAGTTGGTTCTAAACATCCAGGTCTGCATGAAACCATAAATACCTGGCTACCTCTCAAAAGCTCATTAGGAATAGAGCCAAACTGACACAACTGAGATGCTCCTACGGAAAAAGATCTGACTCCTGTATTCACCAATTTAACTTCTCACAATGGTGGGACATGAAAGAGAGCTTCTATTGCAGATCTCAAATTCTGGGCAAGCTCATATGGAAGGAGGCAGTGTTTCAGATATTCTGCCCCAGACAGTTTCAGCCTTTGTAGATTCATGGCAGCGCCCTGACCTGACCTTGGAAGCAAATCAGATTGCAGTGCATCTTGTTCAAGACTATTCATATATGATCTATCAAGCACTAGCTATAATGTGCAAATTCTGTTTGAAGGCAGCCCCATGTAAGTAGCCTAACTGGGAAGTAATGAAGGCATGGATCAATGTGATCATCTCAGCCTTCACCAGGAAGGAGTGCAACCCAGATAACAGCCAACGCTAGTCAATGGCATTCCTGGTCATGGCAGCCACATGGTTTGCCCAGCTCAGTGCTAGACTCAAGAAAACCTCCGGAATTCTGCAAACTTGGCCATTCAGAGGTAGTGCAACTCTATCCAGAAAAGGCAGTAATGCCAATCCCAAACTATTTTTGCTAACGACCAGCAAAACTTCTGCCCTATCTGGATTGAACTTCAATTTGTTCACCTGCATCCCGTCTCTCATTCCAGCCAGCCAGAAATGTATGACTACTTGGCATTGGTTATAAAACAACATAAAGCTGGATATCACCAGTGTGGTGGCTATTTGTTTGTTCATTACATTTTTATTCCACATCTTCTACAATGAGCATAAAACATTGCTCTCTTCTTGCCTGCTTGATGAGATCCAGGCCGCAAAGTCTGGATGACCTCGCCAAATAGAGTCATCTGATTGTTAAAAAGCACCAAAGCTCTAAATAGTCATATAAGCTAGCATGCACAAGGCAGTCATCCAAAGCCACATTGTGGTAATAATCAGCCTGTACTGACACTTAATGGGGTAGTTTATCAGTTAAACAAACAAAATAGTGTCCACAAGTCCCATATCAACCAAACAGCCATACGTAAAACCTACCCTGATCACTATTATCAAACACTACTGAGAACAGAGATAGTGATGCAATCTATTTTCCAGTGAAGAACATCCATAATGGCAACCAAGGTCATTTCTGTCACAAACCAGGCTTGAATCCAGATTAGAATGGGTCTAAAAGTAATCTGCTTCATCCAATAAAGGCTTTTGTTTTTGCCTTCTGAGCAAAATAAGTTGGCAGACTTTAACTGGAGGCATCATTTGCTGTGGCACCTCAAGCCAAAAATAAAAAAATTAAAAAAATGTTTTGAGCCAACTGTGGTTAGCCACTACAGTGGACCCTTGACTTACAGACAGCTTGACTTACAGACTTTTTGAGTTACAGACTTCTCTGGCCGCAAAATTTAGGTTTGACTTGCAGACTGAGATTTGACTTACAGACCAGAAAAAAACCAAAATGGAACAAAAATGGCCTGTTACGGGATTAATCGGTTTTCAATGCACTGCAGGTCAATGGAGACTTGACTTACAGACTTTTTGACTTGAGAACCGCCTTCCAATACGGATTAAGTTCTCAAGTCAAGACCCCACTGTACCTGGCAGAAGCTATGGGGCCAAGAGGAATGGGATCACCTGCCCACATTACACACAATAGTAAACCATAACCAGGTGGGCTTGATTTTTTTTGCACCTGAGGGACCACTGTAGGTAAATATCAGGTAGAAACAAATACATCTTCCACATATGTTACTTCCAGTTGATTCATTCAATAATAGTAACTGATAATCAGTGTTATTGTGGCCAATTTAAAGTGAGCTTCAGCATCTGCCTCTTTCCTGTTATTTTGCAATGAAGTTAAAAGATTTTTGTTCTTTCTAGTGCAACAGTGGACAATTTGTGGCTGTCTAGCATCTCTCTCCTAGCATCTATTCCCATTGGCTATGCTTCATAGGAATTGCAGTCCAGTAAAATCCAGAAAACCACATGTTGGCCCCTGTTCTTTATGGTACTTTTCAACAATTCAGTCAGCTATCAACCACATCAAGCGTGAAATACTCATCCACAGCCATAAAACCAGTAACTTTCAAAAAGAAGCATTGTATTGACCAAATTCTACATTACCCAAATGTTACTGATGGAAAATCTTAGTGTTCACCCTGTTCTGTAACGATGTTAAGTAGCTACTTGCTCAGGAGACAGCTTAAGCAAATACTGTATTGGAACTGCAGCTTCTCATGAGTCCACTGCAAATGCAACTGTCTCCTTGCATGAGGGGAGATAAATGGGCAATAGAAGGCTGAATGGGGCAGCCTCATCTCAACAGGGGGTAGGAGGTGCCCCCTTTATTGGCCTATAAGCCATCCTTCTAAATGGGATAGGATGTGAGCATGAACAAACGGGGGGGGGGGGGAAGCAGGAACAGCTACGTAAGGAAAGGATCAGAGCTGGCTTGCCACAGGCAGTAGATGCTGCGAGGTGACAGAAAGTGTTGAAAGAGAGAGCTGTGACCTACACAACCAACCCTTGTTGCTTCAGGCATGATAAAGGATATTATTTCTCCACCAACACTGAAGAAAAAAGTCCAGTTGGCTTTTATACATGGAAGAGGATGACCATCTTGTTCTTTGGCTCAGCAGGATATAAATTGTGATTTGTCACATATTTTCTGAAATCTGTCTTCTCAGAATTACCTTGCACAAGACAACAAAACACTAAACTGCAACTCCATATTTAATATTCAGCTGGGACTTACCTGGATGACTAATTTATTCTCTTTATTTGGTAGAATCCGGTAGGTATAGACACAGTTCCGATACCTGGAACACAGCAGAGGACAGAGTGTTAGAACAATTTGAAACACGGGCAACTTGTGGATCAAGCGGGGCTCACTCCAATTTTAGTATTACTCTTTCATTTTCATAAAAGAAAAGGAATATTTTAGAGGCCTTCAAATTTGTCTACTGTTTACAGTCCTATCTTGACAATCATATATAAGGTGTAAAGCTTGTTGTATTGGATTAGCACCAATTAGTACAGCTGTCCTGATTTACCATACCAGGAAGTGTCTGAGTCAGCTGTTAGGTACTGTATCTTCAGTTTTCAGATTTTTAGCACTAGCAGTGCAAAACCAGACATACCTGCTCACATGGTTTATACTCTATAAGTATCTTATTGTTTTCCAAAACTTTTGTTGGCATGTACCTTCCATTTATTTTGTTTTCTTCTTAATATGCAGTACAATGTCAACTATGGCATACTATGCAGACTGAAAACTTCATTTATATTTCCAGAACTTTAAACTCCATATTTTATTTATTTTCCTCATTTCTGGCTCACAAGGTTGTAGAAACAACCTTGACAATGTCATGTCAAAATACTACCATCAGGAGGATGGTATGAACTTTATGACAGTTCATTATTCAGCTGCCTCTTGTGATATCTTTTCTCTTACCCTTGGGACAACCACAGTGTCACAGATCCCAGCATACAAGAAACAGCCTCTCCCGCCATGCCCGATTGTATTTGCCAGATTTTTAGACTAAAATTCCTTTCACCTCTGAACTTTGGCCACACTGATAGATATTAAGATCCAAAACATTTGAAAGGTGTCAGGCCACAGCAGCTGGCCTAACTGAACATTACAAGCTGCATTAGATCACTGCTTTTCTACTTCCCTCTTTCTCACTCACTACTTCCCTTTCACTACTAGTCATGGCTACTGTAATATAACAATGATGTCAAGCTATTGGATATTTCCCCATCCACCATGGATGACAGCTAATCACCTGAGCCGGAGCAAGGGGGGGTGAGGGAAAGATAAATTAAATGTTCCCTGTAGGATAAAGGGAAAACATGGAATAATAATGTGTGGCTTCATCTCTCTCTGTTTTAACATCTAATTAGATCCTTGTATTCAGTGGAAACATTTCCCTTGTATTTCCATTAAATGCCAGCTAAGATACAATTTGTGCTAAACATCATCAAAATTCAGCCCCAGCCTCTGTTTTCAGCTACATCTAGAATAAATAACCAGGGGACCACAGACTTACCTGGGTACCCAGCATTCTAGCCAGAACTGGAATAATGACTGGCAGCCAGCAACATAGCAGTCCCCTCATGTGTCCCTGACAATACTGGGGGAGTGCCAGCAATGGATTGGCTGTTGAAGCAAAGGGGGGCGGAGTTGAGATAGGTGAGCCAGAATGAAGCAAACTTCAGTCCCCCTATGCTTTATTTAAGAATAAGAGCTTGCTGGCAACAATTCAGGGACTTCTCCACCTTCCCTGCCCCTGCCCCTACAGAAGGAAAATTAAACCTGGTCTAGATGCAGAGGCTGTTTT